AAGTTACATACTTGGTTGAAATGATGAAATTAAACATGTTTTATTTGAGTAATATTTGATTTTCCTGGATTCTGAGAACAAAATTGACTGTGGGCCACATAGTCAACAAGCTCCCTCACAGACAAATGCCCTGGGCTTTTGCTTGGATTTGCTCTTCAGTGTGGCCTCCTAATAGATGAATGGTTGGTATTCTGGTCAATCTGGCTTTCTACCCAGATTCTGTACATAACAGCCTTCATTCAGCAAACTTGCCAACATGCTAGATGCCCCAGGACTAGATCTAGAAGGGAGCCCCCTCACCCTTTTTCTCTGCTGCCTTTCCCATGCCACTGGCTGTACAATTTTATCTTCTCTTAAGATTCATTGCACTACAATGGAGCTCCTTGTTGAAACTCCTGCCTTCCTAGACAGCGAATTGTTTGAGAGCAGGGCCCCCATCCCATTTACTTTGTATTCTCACTGCCTGATATCACTCTTCACAGTATTGCTAATGAGTTAATTTTTAATAAATACAGATTCCCATATATTTTAACATATTTCCCATCATGCAACTCATAGAATTAAAACTGAGAACATTATTTCTTGTGTTTGATTGTAGTAGATGATACTTCTGTTTCTAGTCCAAACTACTCTATGATGTTGTTGGTAAGTGCTGTTGAGCCTGTTTCAACTCATGTTGTTGTTCGGTGCTATCGAGTTCATACTGACTCATAGTAACCCTATGCACAACAGAACAAAACACTGCCCAGTTCTGGGCCAACCTCACAATCGTTGCTACGCTTGAACCCATTGATGCTGCCACTTTGCCAGTCCATCTCACTGGGGGTCTTCCTCTTTTTCTCTGACCCTCCTCCTTACCAAACATGGAGCATAGCAACCCTGCTCCGAAAAGCAGCTAGTAGGTGCCAACCTTGCAGTTAGCAGTCCAGTGCTTATCCTACAGTGCCACATTAAGACGACTTTATTTATAATGTTGGATAAATCAAAACATGACTTGAGGAAACAGACAACAGTTTCCTCTGATGCATGAATAACATCTCAAATTTCTCTTTTTCTCCTTGGTGTTTATCAAAGCATCGGAGTCATAAATACTTGATGATTGCATATGCTTCAGTCAGAACTCCGAAATACCAAGGATGAACACCAACTCTAACTTAAGGGGAAAAAGAGGAAATGTGCTGGTTTGTGTAATTGAGAAACTTGGAACCTGATCTCAGGGATTCTCCAGCCATTCATTGCTATAGCGTCCATTCCATCTCACAGTGATCCTGTAGGACAGAGTCAAACTGCCTCATGGGGTTTCCAAGGCTGTAAATCTTTACAAAAGCAGACTGCCACACCTCTGTCTCCCATAGAGCAGCTGATGAGTTCAAATCACTGACTTTTCAATTAGAAATCAAGCACTTAACCACTGTACCACCAGTTCTCTTTTCAGGGACTCTGAATATTCAAAATATGCCTCCAGGACTCATCTCTTTCTTTCTTCATTTTTTTGGTGGTGGTAGTGGTGTTATGTGTTGTCGAGTTAGTTCCGACTCATAGCGACTCTGTATAGGGTTTCCAAGAAGCAGCGGGTAGGTTTGGACTGCTGACCTGTGGTTGATAGTCCAGTGCTGACTCTACAGTGTCACACCAGACTTCTATATGTTAGCTTTCTTCTCTTCTAATGAAGGCATCTTCCTCCTGACTGTATGGGGAAAGTGAAACAGGACAGACCTCACACCATCCAACTTAATAAAATCTCCAAGCTGTCCCTCTCTCTCTCTCCCACTTCAATATCTAGTTAGTTCAATTTGGGTTGTGTGCCCATCTCTACGCCAATCACGGTGATCAGGGAAATTCTTCCAGCTGCTGTTGAAGGAACCCCAACTAATGACAACCTCATGTGTCAAAGTAGGACTAGCAGTTGTAGTAACTAACTTTTCAGAAGTAGATCATCAGATCTTCCTCCAAAGAGCTTCGGGGTGATTTTAACCTTCAACCTTTCAGTTACTAACTGAGTGAATTAACGTTCCTGTGTATACAGCCAGAGTGCTGCTTGGAAGCCAAGATGGCCAAATATTGTCTCTCATACATTGGACATATTGTCAGGAGGGACCAGTTGCTGGAGAAGGATATCGTGTTTGGCAAAGTGGAGGGTCAGAGAAAAAGAGGAAGACTACCAATGAGATGGATTGGCCAAGTGGCAGCATCGATGGACTCAAGCGTGCCAACAGTAGTGAGGTTGGCCCAGGATCAGGCAATGTTTCATTCTGCTGTGCATAAAGTCGCTACAAGTTGGTACCGACTCAATGGCACCTAACAACAATAACAACAGAGATTAGGTATTACTGCAATTGGCAACCTCCCCAATATATGTGGTATATATGTTGTTGTTGTTGTTAAGTGCCGTCGAGTCGGTTCCGACCCATAGCGACCCTGTACAGGGTTTCCGAGGGTGTAAATCTTTACGGGAGTAGAAAGCCTCATCTTTCTCCCGCGCAGCGGCTGGTAGTTTCGAACCGCTGACCTTAAGGTTCGCAGCCCGATTCGTAGCCACTACGCTACCAGCGCTCCTTATGTGGTATATATAAGAGGGTGTTTTAGTTATCTAACACAGCTATAACAGAAATACCACAAGTGAATGGCTTTAACAACCAGAAATTTATTCACTCACAGACTAGGAGGCTAGAAATCCAAATCCAGACTGCCAACTCTAGGGGAAGGCTTTCTCTTCCTTGTCTCTGTAGGCCCAGTATTCTGTGGAGATCTCCATACATCTCATTATCAATCTTCTCCTGAATCTAGGAGTTTCAGAATGTAGGGTCCCCAAGTCCAAAGGACATACTCCACTCCTGCCTCTTCTAATTTAGTGGTAGTTGTTGTTGTTAAGTGCCATCAAGTCGATTCCAAACCATTGTGACCCTGTACAGGGTTTCCAAGGAGCAACTGGTGAGCTTGAACCACCAACCATGCAGTCCAAACGACTGCAGTCTGACGCATTAGCCCACAGCACCACACCAGGACGCCCTCTAATCTAAGCTCATTTCTTTCTCCTTTCATATCTTGAAAGAAATGGACTCGAGATACAGCCTAATTCTATAGATTCTACCTGACTTCATTAACATCATAGAAGTGAGGATTTGCAACATAGGATAATTACATCAGATCAGGGTTTGTCATGTCAAATCACCTCATGGGGTGTCACAGCCTGGATGAATCAGATGAGGCTTCCTGGTGTGGTCCTGCCCTCCAAGAACTGGTAGATCGCAGGCACAATGCCCACATGAAGGAGCCAGAGAAACAGGTTTAAGGAAGCAAAGAAATTTAAGGAAGCATAGATGTTCTTGCAGAGAGGAGAACAGGCTTTTCCCTGCAGGACTACCCCTCCAGAGTGAGGAACGCACCAAGTGAGTTCCTGGTTTCACTTTTTATGCTGTTTTTCTCCATGGCAGGCTCTTGGTTTCCTGATTCCTGCATTCTCTTATTATAATTTAGGGCTCATATTTGGTCATTTCTTCCCAAGCCTGTTATACTTCTTTCCTATTACATCAGTCTGTTATAATTATATTCCTGAGCTAACCATATGCTGATTTTTTTTCGTGGTATCATGATGAGTTCCTTGATCACATCATATCAGTCTTACTCTTCTCAGTACGTGCCTGATTTTGGTAAAAGCCCTCTTTTCTATCTTTCCTTTTACTAGACTCTCGCAACAAGTCAGGTGGTTCCTTTGTGGTTGATGTGGTTAGCCCCTTTTCTCTGTTTTCGCTGCCTAATAATCCCATCAGGGGGATTACACATCTTAACTGTCAAACCCCTGAGAATCTGGACCCAGCCAAGTTGTTATAAAACCTTAACTATCACAGAGGGGGTGCATTTCCCCAAATTGGTCAACTTCATTAAGAAGTGGGTAAAGAATGTAGGCAGACCAAAACAATAAATATTCTCAGCCTGAATGCTCTGAAATTTCAAATTAAATAGCATCTAGAAAATGTTCTAGGAGAACCTCAACAAAAGAAAATGTTGGCATTTTGTGAAGATCAAACTTTTAAAGCTTGGATAATGTTTTATGATGTTAAACCTACTCCTGGAGACAACTTTCAATTAGTAAAGTTATCACAAGTGGTCTAAAACTCAGAAACACCCGGGACATTTTATGTCAGTCAAGTTTCTGGATATCCAATCTGTTTTTCTTACTGATTTTGTAAATTACTGATTGGAGATATATTCCTTAGGAAATGTATTTAGAATTAATAAAAACAGTGGACAATATTGTGACACTGTATGTTTCCCTTCCATAAAATATGTTATACTGAGCCTAGATAAGGATCTGTGATAGGTGTGAAGGAAAGGATTCCTTTATTGAATAAGAAATTTAATAATATTATTTTCCTTAAGGTTGACCAAGAGAGTGGACATTTCAATGATTAAGCACAGCTCAACAGCCTCACTAGAAATACACTAGAAGTTCATGTCTTAAACAGCAGAGACCACTTCATTTCTCAGTGGGAAAATAGCATTCTGAAAATACAACCTTTCTGTCTTTTATGCCGTTGTCAGAGTTACTAATAGTGACTGCTTTGTTGTCTATAACTAAGAATACATTTCCCCTTAAAAAATCAATTGTCTCAGATTTGAATGTCACAACAAAAACCTATTAAACACTAAACTTCCTGAAGTATAATATTCTATCCACTACCTCCAACTTCTATTGATAGTAATGTTACTTTTAAAACAATTCTTAATTCTTGAAGTGTAGTGAATTAATATAACTTTCCAGGCCATAGTGTTTGTAACGCTCACCAAACAATTGGATGAGACTGCAAACTGGGTAATTTCCTTTTTTCATGATGAGTCTGACTAAGAGGAGGTGAGGAAAGATGCTGATATAATTATATGATTCAGTTGTGAGTGATTATTTATAGGGTCAATTGTGATTGTAAAAACTTGGAAATCTAATGAGGGGATTGGTCAGATATACCATCCTACTGAATATAAAATGAACCATCTCAGAGTCAATGATAGGATATTTCACTACCCTCAAGGAAGAAGAGCCAAGAGTGGACAGCATTTCCCAGCACTTAATTAGCGAAGCTAAATTTGCTCATCCACTGTGCTCAAGTCATGCACTTTCAGGGTGAGACTTATGGCAGAGTGGAGGGCCCTTTGGGAATTTATTAGCAGTGATAAAAGAGCTTTGTCATATTGGCCAAGCAAGACAGAGACCAGATCAAAGGGCTGAGGGCCAGAGAGTAGGCCTTCTTGTGGGAATGGCAGAGAAGAAGCCGTCCTGACTGTATTCTGAACATTTCTCACCCTGAACTGTATGTAGCCTGTTAACGTCCCTAATAACCCACAACATTGTGAGTATTCCCTGTGAATTCTGTATGGTCATTGCAATGAATTATTTAAGAACTCAGCAGAAACGAAAGTGCTATGGGAGGGATGGTTGGTTTCAGAACTGGCAAATAAGGCTGGAAGGTGGAGGTATGTCTGATCTCTGCCTCATAGGAATTGGCTTTGGGCTGATGCTGACGGTGATTCTTCTCCATCCTTGTAAACCAGAAGAGGTCACACACCATCCCCACACAATTTTACAGGATTCACCTTACCAATACCATCTGTTTTGGTCATTGTCCAGAAACTCAAAATGCATTTTCCCATAAAAGTCGATTATTGTTTCAGATTTGAGTGTCACTACAAAAATCTACTAAGCACTTCCTAAAATATAATATATCAACTATCTCCATTGATAAGGAGCCCTGGTAGCATAGTGGTTATGAGTCAGGCTGCTAACCTCAAGGTCAGCAGTTCAAAACTACCAGCTGTTCATGGGACAAAGATGAGGCTTTCTGCTCCTATAAACCTTGGAAACCCTGTACAGGGTCTCTATAAGTCAGAACCAATTCCTCAGCACTCCACCGCCACCGCCTCTATTGATAACAGTCTTACTCTAAAAAAAATTCATTTTTAATTCTAACTACCTTTGAGAGAGTTTGTTTTTCTCTTGAGTAGCACCTAAATTCTAAAACAAAAAGCAAGTCCTTCACATTGAATTTCATACAGACATCTAATTCATTTGTTGCTCAGATTGTTCAACAAGTAATAGTTGTTTTTGATATGAGGACACTGATCTGAGACTCTTAATGAATAATATGAGATCAAACGGGTAAATAAAGCACTATATTATAGTTATATTTTATCTGTCATTCTATTCTTTAAATGAATAAATTTTCTTGTGTCATCAAATGTTAATATAAATAGAATAGACTTGAAGATTTTTTTTTATTTTTAAGGGTAACTGAAGCCAAATTATTTGCAGAATTAATAGAGAGCAGAAGAGACCTCGAAAACCAAGAAGAACTTTAGAAAATGAAGTTTAAGAGAAATCTAGAAGATGATTTGGTAAAATAATCATAATTAATCATTAAAATCTATAAACATAAGTCAAATGTCATTTATATCTTCTAAAGTTCTAACAGTAACTTTGCCCCTAGTGTTCTGGTTCTGTACTATGCTTCCTGTCAGTGATACTGTGATGGGTGAGGGGTGGGGTGGCATATGAGGGAAATGGTATTGGTCTCTGACAGCCAACCATTTAGCTGAAGGACCCTGAATAAGTCACAGGAATCCAGTGTCTTAGTTATAGCTAACCCACAGCACCACACCAGGACTCCAAATATAAAACTATATTTAGTAGAAATTACCTACCTATATTTAAGTGATGACTATTATTTTGGAGTCCTGGCATGGTGTTGTGGGTTAATGCACTGGACTGCAAACTCAGTTTGAACTTCAAGGTCAGCAGTTCAAGCTCACCAGCCGCTCCTCAGAAACCCTATACATGGTTGCTATGGATCAGAAACAACTTGACGGTACTTAACAAAAACAACAATTATGATGGGGGGTAGGGAGTAGTAAGGAGTGAGGATTAGGGTTGGGACTAATAGCTATTTTTAGGGTTATAGTAGGTTTATTTTTATTCATTTATTTTTATTCTTGAAATCTATGTGATTTGCTCCTCATCTGGAAGTTCTGTAACTACATTATTCCCTCTTTTTACTTCATGGGATTTTTTTGTTATTGTTGTTGCAACTGTACCTTTGGTTGTCTATTTTCAGTCTTGTAGGTCTGTTTTTCTTTGAATACTTCATATCTGGGTTGAGTTTTGTGTTATTGTCATGTTTGTTAGTCTCAGGGTTTTGGCTGCTGTTACAGGTTCTCTTTCCAAAGAAAATCCCTTTAGTATTTGTGTAAGATTGGTTTTGTTTTTACGAATTCTTTTCATTTCTGTGTATCTGAAAATGACCTAAATTCACCATCATATTTGCTAGACAAATGTTCTGGATATATGACTATTAGTTGGTGTCTTTTTTTTTTTTTCTTCAGAGTTTTATATATGCCATTCCACTGTCTTCTTGCCTATATGGTTTCTGCTGAGAAATCAGAGCTTAGTCTTTTTAGTTCTCCTTGTAGGTAACTTTTTTGATTTTCATATATTGTTCCTAATCCTTTAAACTTAATTAAGAAGAATTCACTTTTAAAAGAATTGTCCAGTAAAAAATATAAGCACCACTGCCCCAACCTACAAGTTTTATTTTTTACAAGGTTTAATGAAATTTTTTTTTTTTTTTAACATTTTTAAGGGGATAAGTTATTCATACCACAGATGGATTTATTTAGTTGAACAGTGATTCTTCGATTTGCTTCAGGGTTTCAAGCTGACTCATTCTAGTTCAACCTCAGATATACTAAAACAGGATCTACATTTTAACAAGATTCCCAGGGAATTCTTATAGATCCCTAAGTCTTGTTAAAATGTAGATTCTATAATGATTCAATGTATCTGAAGTAGAAATGCATACTCTAGCAGGGAGTCTAACTGGAATGAAATTGTTTGAAACCCTGATTTACTTGATGATCTCTTGGTAAATTACCATGACACCAATGGGGGGGGGGGGGGAAGCCAAATCACACAAGTTCCTAGTTGTCTTATTATCTTTTATGTCTTCAAGACTCTAAGCTTTATAGAGGTATATGAAGTACATATGTGTTTCGTCTTAAACAGAATAACAAAAATTTATGGACACCCCAATGTAGCTAAGTGTATTCCATATTCAGCTAACCACTACCCAAAAAGAGGTCCCAAATGCCTGGTTTCACAGATACACAATGATAGAACAATAAGTAATCTAAAAGAAACTCCACTATTTTGTTCAATTTTATTTAAGATGTTTCTTTTCTTTCCATTGTAGACTAAGGCCTCCGGAGAGACCAGCATGCTGAAAAGACCTGTGCTTTTACATTTGGACCAAACAACCCATTTTGATGAATTTGATTGTCCCTCAGAGTTTCAACAAAAACAGAAACTCTTTCCAAAATGGCGTTTGCCAATTAAAATTGCCGCTTTTATATCATCTCTTACTTTTCTTTACACTTTTTTGAGGGAAATAGTTCATCCCTTTGTAACTTTCCATAAACAGTATTTTTATAAAATTCCCATCCTGGTCATCAACAAAGTTTTGCCAATGGTTTCTATCACGCTTTTAGCACTGGTTTATTTACCAGGTGTGATAGCATCAGTTGTACAACTTCGTAATGGAACCAAGTATAAGAAATTTCCACATTGGTTGGATAAGTGGATGTTGACAAGAAAGCAATTTGGACTTCTCAGCTTCTTTTTTGCTATTCTGCATGCAGTTTATAGTTTGTCCTATCCAATGAGGCGATCCTACAGATACAAGTTGCTAAACTGGGCCTACGAACAGGTAGGAAGAGGATGTTGATCATTTTATCAAAAAGTCTGTGTCACCTAATAATCGACCTTTTCTACTTTAATATCACTATATGGTAGAAATTACATAACTACACCTAATAGGTACAATACCAGACCCTTGTCAAAACCTGTGTTGAGACTAGGATGCCCTTTATCACCACCACTCCTATTCAATATTGTGCTGGAAGTTTTAGCCAGAGCTGTATGGCATGATAGAGAAATTAAAGGCATCCAAATCGGCAAAAAGGAAGTAAAACTCTCCTTATTTGCAGATGATATGGTCCTATACATAGAAAACCCCAAAGACTCAGTAAAAAAAAAAACTACTAGACCTCATCAAAAGATTCAGCAAAGTGGCAGGGTATAAGATCAACATGCAAAAATCAGTTGGATTTCTCTATAGCAACAATGATAGCACTGAAAAAGACATTAGGAAAGCAATACCATTTAGAATAGCTGCACAAAGGATGAAATATTTAGAAATAAATGTAACCAGAGAAAAAAAGGACTTATACAAAAAAATTACAAAACACTACTACAAGAAACCAAAAGAGACCTTTACAGAAGTGGAAGAACATACCTGTGTTCATGGATAAGAAGGCTCACCATTGTGAAAATGTCAGTACTGCCCAAAGCAATTTACACATACAATGCAATCCCAATCCAGATTCCAACAACTTTCTTCAAAGAGATGGAAATGACAATTACTAACTTTATATGGAAAAGAAAGAGACTCAGGAAAGCAAAGCACTGCTTAAAAAGAAGAACAAGGTTGGAGGTCTCTCACTCCCAAATTTCAAATTTTACTACATGGCTACAGTGGTCAAAACAGCCTGGTACTGGTACAACGAAAGATACATTGATCAATGGAACAGAATCGAGAATCCAGAAATTAACCCATCCACATACAGCGAAATGATTTTCAATAAAGTGCCTAGGCATATTGCATGGGGAGGAGATAGTCTCTTTAACAGATGGTGCTGGCAGAACTGGAAAGTGAGATGTAAAAGACTAAAACAACCTTTGCCTCAAGCCCTATACAAAAATGAACTCAAAAATAGATTAAAGATCTAAATGTGAACCCAAAATTATGAAGGTCATCAGTGAAAAAATAGGGACAAATGTGAGGGCGCTAATTCAGGGCATATACAGACTACCAAACATTTTGAAAATTACACAAACAAAAATAGACAAAATAGATGAGTGGGACATACTAAAAATTAAAAACTTATGTGCATCAAAAGACTTCACCAAAAGAGTAAAAAGGGAACCCACAGAATGGGAAAAAATCTTTTGCAATGACACATCAGATAAGGGACTCATTTCTAAAATATACACGAAATTATAACACCTCTACAAGAAAAAGACAAATAACCCAATTAAAAAATGGGCACAGGACATGAACAGATACTCCACCAAGGAGGAGATCCAGGCAGCCAACAAACATATGAAGAAGTGTTCATAATCACTAGCCATCAGAGAAATGCAAATCAAAACAACAATGAAATATCATCTCACACCAGCAATAACAGCAAACATCAAAAAAGCAGAGGAGAAGAAATGCTGGTAAGGATGCGGAAAGACTGGGACCCTCCTACATTGTTGGTGGGACTGCAAACTGGTCCAACCACTCTGGAAAGCAATATGGCGCTTCCTCAGAAGGTTGGAAATAGAAATACTGTGTGACCCAGCAATTCCTCTACTTGGTATTTACCCACAAGAAATACGACCATAACATAAGTAGATATATACACACCAATGTTCATAGCAGCACTATTTACAATAGCAAAAAAGTGGAGACAACCAAAATGCCCATCAATTGAAGAATGGATAAACAAACTGTGGTTTATACACACAATGAAATACTACGCTACCTTGAAGAACAACAAGGAAGCTGCAAGCCATCACATAACATGGATGAACCTTGAGGACATTATACTGAGTGAAATTAGTCAGTCACAAAAGGAGAAATACTGCATAGGACCACTACTGTTAAAGACTAAGAAAAATAAACCATCCAAAAAGCCGTGGGGGGTGGGGGAGGATCTAAATATAGAAGTGCTGGTCACTGGTATGTATGTGATGAGAGGTGGGGAGGGAATAGACACAGGAGAGCCTGGGAGGGAGCGGGGAAGGGAAAAAAAAAAAAAAAAAACCTGTGTTGAGAAAGCAATCTTCATTTAAAATTTTATTATAATATTACAACTCTTCATTAGGACTTGGTTAGACAGTTTTCCATGGAAGAATTATTTTTAAGCTGAAAATAATAACAACTCTAACAACAAAAACAAATGTTTTGTTCATACTCTGGGCTATATTTCTGCTGCACTCACAAGATTCCTTTTTAATGATATTCATACTTGTTTCCTGCTTCTTTACAACACATGTTTGTGCCACGTAAACCTTTCAATAATCATTATATTAACTAATAAAAACAGATTGTATAAATGTTGCATTCAAGGAAAGAGAGTGACGGTTTCTGTGTCATTTCTTTTAGAGGAATGAAAAATGAACACCATCAATTTGTGGTTGTTGTTGTTATGTGCCGTTGAGTCGGTTCCGACCCATAGCGACCCTGTACAGGGTTTCCGTGGAGCAGCTGGTGAGTTTGAACTGCAGACCTTGCAGTTCAAATGGCTTTGCAGTCTGGTACATTAACCCACAATCTATGGAGGCCCCAAGTTATCAAGACTTCCATAGTAGACAGAAGTCATGTAGAAGGAAGTAAGGTGATTAAAGTACAAGAAATTTGTATTTTGCATTGCTCTTTTCTTTTTTCACTCTCTGGTAGGTCCAACAAAATAAAGACGATGCCTGGATTGAACATGATGTTTGGAGAATGGAAATTTATGTGTCTCTAGGAATTGTGGGACTTGCGATCCTGGCTCTGTTGGCTGTGACATCTATACCGTCAGTGAGCGACTCTTTGACATGGAGAGAATTTCACTATATTCAGGTAAACAGTAAACAAAACTACTCTGGTTTTGCAAAAGAAATAATTCTTTCTGTGTTTATAGTATCACTAGTATATTAACTTTACCCCATAAAAAATAAATGCCCTCCAGTAGCAAAAATTATACCTTTGTTCCAATTAATAATATTGTCTCCTATATTTTTCCCTTTGGCTTTTAGATAGGAAAAGGGTTTTCTAGACATAAATAAAAGGTAGTTTATTATCATACAACATTCTTTTTAACATTTAAAGTTCGTTAGTTTTTTTGTTCAATTCATTACTCACCTAAGTAACTACAAATATACTTTAGGTACCCCGTATCCATGGCTTGTTAGTGCACAGAAAATACAAATATTCTTCTACCTATTCCCTGATTTTACTGTTTCTAAGTTACACAGCTTTGTACTATCCAGAAAAGTTATCTTGTCTTGAAATATAGAGCTTTATTAACCAAAGAAATTCTAATACCTAATTTAAAGGCTTCTTTTTCTGAATTGCCTTTCATGTAACTTATTCATTTGAAGTTTCTAACTATTCTTAGAATTCAAAAGCTAGCTCTGATTTATTGACATTAACTATTTTGTGGTAGATTACAACTCTAGTAGCATAGTGGTTATGAATCGGGCTGTGAACCGCAAGGTCAGCAGTTCAAAACTACCAGCTGTTCTGCGGGAGAAAGATGAGGCGTTCTGCTCCCGTAAAGATTTACAGCCTCAGAAACCCTGTACAGGGTCGCTATGAGTCAGAACCGGCTCCACGGCACATAACAACAACAACACCCTAAAGAGAACAAATTGCCAGAAGTTGAAAGGTAATCCCTGCCTGACAAGATTCAAAGAACTAAATTTAATTCTGTTACAAGCGCTGCCAAGATTTTTTAAATTACATAGTTTTAGCTTTCATGAGTAGACATCTTTAGAATTCTCACCAAGTCAGACATTCCTTCTCCCTTATCCTTTCTACATGCCCACACATATACTCCAACAGGTACTATATCAGAGCATCTGCTTAGGCTGAAAAGTATATCTCCATGTGAATTGGTTAATGTGCTGGACTGCAAAGTTGGTTTGAGCTGCAAGGTCAGTAGTTCAAGCTCACCAACTGCTCCTCGGAAACCCTTTACAGGGTCACTATGGGTCAACCAACTCAACTTACAATAACCTTAGAGATGATCTGTACCATGCTCTTAAAGCACAATATTTTCATATATTTTAGATTTACCCTGATCTTTGTTCTTTATTAAATGGCTTTCTTCTTACATAGCTCCTCCTGTCATACGTATACCAAGCACTACTTTCAGACTTAAAGAGGGATTCAAGTAATGCATCTTGACAACTAAGGCCATTCCACTCTGTTGTTAAGTGCTGTGGAGTCAGTTCCAACTCATAGCAATGCTGTATAGGGTTTCTGAGAAATGACTGGTAAGTTTGAAGTAGTCTGACAGCCTTGCAGTTAGTAGTCCAGTGCTTATCCTACAATACCAAACCATGACACTATGAGCTAATAATACATATGCAACATGCCTTTGGTAAAATTAATACACAACCAAACACATTTAGGATCCATGGATTCATTTCTGAAAATATAAATTGAATTATTTGATTATATTCATTAGGGTTTAAGAGTTGTTGTTGTTGTTGTTAAGTGCCGTCGAGTCGGTTCCGACCCATAGCGACCCTGTACAGGGTTTCCGAGGGTGTAAATCCTTACGGGAGTAGAAAGCCTCATCTTTCTCCCACGGAGCAGCTGGTAGTTTCGAACCGTTGACCTTGAGGTTAGCAGCCTGATTCGTAACCACTACACTACCAGAGCTCCTTAGGGTTTAAGAGTACTGTTAAATAATTGTGAGGTGGAGTTACTCAACAGATTAATGGCCATTTCCAGTAGTGAATAGAAGTCAAAAGTTATCTCGAAGACCTGTATATTACTTTGGCAGGATGCCAAATGAACAACCATTTACCTGTGAAGTACCAGGCATCTCAGTGCAAGCTGAAATTTTTCTTCACACCTCCAGATTTCTTTACTTTGTTCAAACAATAAAATGTTTTTTGATATTTTTCTTTCCCCATTTTATCAAGATGTTTGACTTTTTCAAACATAAACCAAGATCATTTAACTCAGTATTTGTTTACCACAATGAGTCCGTTACTGTAGCTGCCTTCAGGTTGATAAAGACCAATGAAGCCAAACTGATTTTTGTGGTGATCTTTAATCAATTCACCAATACTTACTGAGCGCCTAAAATGTTGATTCTGCAAGGAATCTATGATGAGTTGATAGACAGAATTAAGGCAAATGCACAAGGCACACAGCACCATAAGATGAATGTCATGAGAGAGATAAGCAAAGTGGTGGACCAGGAGAGGACAAGTTTGTCATTAGCTGAGACTGGAAGGAGGAAAGTTAAGAATCCTCCAGTTTAGATCCTCTGGAGACAAAGACATCACCCAAAAATTAAGGGATGACGTGGGGACGTGTAAAAAGAGTATCGTTTCAACGATTATATTTTCCTAAGTTTTTTGTGTACATCAAAGACAAACAAACAAACAAAAAACAGAGGGAATAGAAGCAACTACTGTTAACCAATGCATGGAGGGGATTGTAATCATTACAATGAAACAAAATACGGTAGATTGAGTACAAAACCAATGTTCTCCCATGTAAACTATCACTCAATTCACAATAAAACCTTTAAAAAAAATAAAAAAGGAGTATAAAGAACAGTGTGATAGGAAAGCACTCACAGATGAATGAAAGGATTTCCAAACAACAGAACAGATCCAGAGGAGAGAGTATGAAAGAAACTCCTACCGAACCATTCTTCATCAAAGTAACCTTTTCTCTTTCTCTTTTTTGTTCTTTTTCAGAGCAAGTTAGGAATGGTTTCCCTTCTGCTGGGCACAATACATGCATTGATTTTTGCCTGGAATAAATGGGTAGACATAAAGCAATTTGTGTGGTATACACCTCCAACTTTTATGATAGCAGTTATCCTTCCGATGATTGTCCTGATATGTAAAACCATACTACTACTGCCGTGTTTGAGGAAGAAGATACTCAAGATTAGACATGGCTGGGAAGATGTCACCAAAACTGATAAAACTGATATATCTTCCCACTTGTAGAATTATTACTTTTACACATTTTGTTCAATATTGGTATATTTTATCATAAAACATTCCAAAATGTGTTTGTTTAATAAAATGACCATTCCAGGCTCTTAATTGTCTCTTTATGGTAATGAATATATATGTATTTCCTTGAAGATTTGATTCAAAGCACCCCCAAAAAGAATATTAATCTTTAGCACGTTCTTTCAGTAAAGCTGAACAATCACAATCGTAAATAATCACAGAATGAAACAATCCCATCTGCTGTTAGAATGAATGGCTTAATCAATAAAAGGCCTTGAAATACCAGTCCTTGCTACCCGTTACACAAATATCTGAATCCACCTTTCTAGTATATTAAGTATTGATTGCTTTTGAAAAAAAAAATAGTGTCTACACAAGTAAAGTAAGGAGCTCTGGTAGCGTAGTGGTTACAAATCGGGCTGCTAACCTCAGGGTCAGCAATTTGAAACTACCAGCTGTTCCATGGGAGAAAGATGAGGCTTTCTGCTCCCATAAAGATTTACAGCCTCGGAAACCTTGTGCAAGGTGCTATGAGTCGGAACCAACTCCACGGCACATAACAACAACAACAACACAAAGCAAACAAGTAATATTAGTTAGATAATCATGTTGTTGTTGCTATAGGCCATGGAGTCAGTTCCAGCTCAGTGACCCTGGGTTTTCAAGAAATGACATGGGTGTGAACCACCAACCTTCTGGTTAGAAAGTCAGTGCTTACCTTGCAGCACCATACTAGGACTCCAGGTATGCATGTAGGTAAAATAAACTTGGGCTATCAAGCTGAAAAAGTAAGTTCAATTATTTATCATTTAATTGGAGTTACTCAGTTCATTGGACTCAATGGCATTTAACAATAACACATTGTTGTCAAGTCTACTCTGACTCATAGCAAACTGATAGGGTTTCCAAGGAGTGGTTGGTGGGTCTGAAGCACTGACCTTGAAGTTAGCAATCCAGTGCTTATCCTACAGTGCCATACAGGACTCCAAAAATACGATAGAAAGAACATAATATGAACTGGTTCCTCAAAGAGAAAATAGTACACTGGATACCAGAACACACTCAGACAACTGGCTATTGTGATAATTGGCAAAGTAATCGCAAACCTCATCTTTAATACAAGTAAACCATTATGATTAAATGCCAGTTGTTGTTGTTAAGTGCTGTCAAGTCAGTTCCCTGTATAGGGTTTCAAGGAGTGACTGGTGAGATTGAACCTCCAACCTTGTCATTCAACTGACTTTGCAGTCCAGCGCATTAACCCACAGTGCCACACCAAGACTCCTAATGCTAATAGTACATGGGAGAAAAATTAATATGCTCCTTGAGTGAAGTCTAGTTTTTTCATTTTTCTTTTTAAAAAGCCTCATTTTAACCACAAGTTCATATGGTAGCTAACATAAGATATTTTGAATAAACCATTGGAAACTGAAGCACAGTTCTACTCTGACCCACAAAGGGCCACCATGAGTTAAAATTAAATCAATGGCAGGTGGTTTTTAAATTTTTTAACAGAAAACTGGTATGATACATTTGTGAAACTCAAACATCTTTTATTGATGAGAAAATGATGCTGAAAAGATAATACACTAGTATGGCTCCAGCTCAAACAAAATATTAGAACTAATGAAAATGAAAAAGATCATAGCTATTGAATTTAATCACTGAATTTTTATCTGATTCTTTGTTTAGAGTGACAATTATGAGGGGGCTTCAAAAGATTCGTGGAAAAAGTAAATGATAATGTAACTTCTCTGCAAACTTTTTGAAGGTCCATCATGTCATGTTAAGTGCTGTCAAATTGGTTCCGAGTGACCCTGTATAGGGTTTCCGAGGAGCGGCTGATGAGCTTGAACCAACCTTGTGGTTCAAACCGACGTTGCAGTCCAGCGCATTAATCCACCGCGCCCACCAAGACTCCATCATAATGATGTAATTATTTCCATTGTTCATATATATGTCTATGTATCTTTACTCTTCATATATGTGTGTATATTCATACAATACATGTTCTTCATATGTGTGTGTGCACAAGAAGTTAAGTGCTATCAGGTCATTTCAATTCCTACTGAGTATAGTAGAATGAAACCTGCCCAGTCCTGCGCAATCCTCACAATTGTAACTAGATTTGATCCCATTGTTGTGGCCACTGTGTCAAGCCATCTTGTTGAAGGTCTTCCTCTTTTCACTGACCCAAGCATGATCTCCTCCAGAGTCTGGTCCCTCCTGATAACATGTTCAAAGTAAATGAAATAAAGTCTTGCCATCCTCGCTGCTAGGAGGCACTCCAGTTGTACTTCCATGACAAACGTGTTCATCTGGCAGTCATAGTACATTCAGTATTCTTTGCCAAGGTCATAATGTACCCTGGATAATAAAGATAAAGCAATAAATAGAGAGCAGGAATGAAAAAAATCAATGTATCTTCTAGAAACAAATCTTCAAGGACAAAACATAGTGATAGATATCCAAACATATCTCCAGTTAACATCACAAGAGAAACAGTATCAATAGTGGACAAAAGCTTATACCCTTGAATTAGATACACCTGGAATTTATCAACTCTTAAATGAATGCCCCCAGAAAGTTAGTTAACCTCTCTGTGCCCCACTACTCTTAGCTGTAAAATGAAAATTTCAATGAAACTTAAGTGAGATAATCCATATAAAGCGCTTGGCACAGTGCCTGGCATCATTGAATGTTCATAAATATCAGCCAATATCATCATGCTCATCATCACCATCACTGTTGGAAAAGGGCTTGCACATCTACTACTCACTTACCGATCATCTCGTTATCCAATGTTTTACACTCATGAAAGCAATAAAGATCTATCAGCTATTTTGTACAGCAACTATATATGTCTGCCAGTAAAACACCCAAGGTGCACAGCAAGAATAACCCTAGTTGTGATGGTTATGTATCCACTGGGCTAAACTATTCTGCCCTGTTTAGCACAGATAGCCATTTACTCCCTTCTGTAACTTCTTTTGTGCCCTCCTAGTATCTCTACTTCCACCTTGTTGCTCTTTAGACTCCCTTGGTTGGCTCCTCATTTGGTCATTCCATGTTAGAACTCTCAAGAATGCTTTATTTTTTTCTTCTCACCTCTTGCTCTTTAGGAAATCTCATCTACTCCTGTAATGGATTTCCAAAAAGTTTTCAAGAATATAGGGGAAAGTTCCTGATTTAATACAAAGAGTAATAAGAAACAAGGCTATATATACAGCGTAAGTACATATACGTACATGAGTGTATATTTGTACGTGCACAGAAAAGACTGAAAATAAAATACACCAAATTGCTAATAGTGGTCAGCTATTTAAGGTTATTTGTTTGTTTGTTTCTCTCTTGTATACTTGCAGTGTGGATCCTTGTAAGACTTCAGTTGAATTTGGGTGATACACCACGTGCTTCTCCATGTAAATTTTAGATCCACTGATTTATATAAAACTAAGGAATCTCCTGTTATAAATTATATGCCCTGTTGGGATTCAGACATACAGAGAACATTTGCAGATAGTGGGGAGAGGAAGTGGAGAGTGCCACAATTGGAACCAGGGCAGACAACAGGGTTCTTGAGAAAAAATTCACCATAAGATAAAAAGGAATCTGGAGCTCTAAAACCACACAGTACACTCAACAATAGGACACAATTCGGAGACCATTTAACACATGCAACTAACTTATGAGAAGCAGTAGTCAAGGATCTACACTGTCACCTCTATGCTATGGTAGCAAAGTATCAGCATCTCCAGTACTGTCAGGGAAAAGCAGAGCTCCAGCTGGCCTGATACCAAGAGACTACAGCTTGGGAGCAGGGGCCCAACCTGAAGGGTGCCTTGAGAAGTTATCAGGGCTTGGTTACTGAATCTCTTATCTCTTTAGCTTTGGTAGTAAGCAATGACAGGCCTATTCTGAAACACAGAATATGCCTGTTTGGGGATTCCCAGTCACAGAAGATAGAAAGTCTACAAGGACCTTAGAAGAAAGGCTCAAAATATCTCCATTTAATTTGTATTCTAGTTTTCTAGTGAAAACTAGACAAATTACTCTTGGTTACCTTTTCTGAATTCTCTGCAATAATTAGCTAGTATGGTTATAAGAATAAGAATACGAAGTTGCTTTTAAAAGAACAAATATTAACTGGACTAATGGAAATAGAACAACCTGAACAGAAATAATGAGGCTGTTCGTGCATTGTGAAGAATATAAGCAACGTAACGGAACAATTTGTGTAGAAATTATTAATGGGAACCAAAACTGCAGCATAAACCTTCACTGAAAACACAATAAGATACTATTTTTTAAAAACAACAAAACGTTATGCCCTCCTGTAAGTTTGAATTGCCTTTTGCTACTCATATTTGCTCATATTTATCCCAGGCCCAGTGCTAAACAAAAGATCTATCAAGATAAAGATTACCTAATCCTTATTCACAGTCTCATGGGAAGCCAGACTTTATGACAGTATTCTGGGATTCTGAGTTTACTAGTATCTCTAAGGAGAAAATGATTATTTCTGTTTAGAAGAGCAGGATGGTGAGAAGTTGATTCAGAAAAAGAAAAACTGAACTAGGGCCTGAAAAAATAAATAAATACACTGAAATGCTGATTGTGGTCATCTGAGTGTGGTGAGATTTTTCAGTGGTTTTTCTGTCTTGTATTTACAGTGTGGGTCCTTGTAAGGCCTCAGTTGGACTTGGGTAATACAACATGTGGCATTAGGTGCTTCTCCGTGTCAATTAGATCCACTGATTTACACAAGAACTGCTTCCTCACTGTTGCTTCTTAGACTCCCTTTGTTAGCTTCTCACCTGTCGTTCCATGGTAACTCTCAGGACATTTTCATTTGTTCTGCTCTCCCCTTGCTCTTTCACAAGGATATCTTATCCGCTCCTGTAATAGAGTTCCAAAAAGTCCTCAAGACTTTTTATAGGAAAATGCTGCTGATTTAATATGAAGAGTAATAAGCAAGGTTGTTGTTAAGT